GAGAGGGAAATGATCAGGACCTCGGGAATCCGTATCTGGGACTGAGAACACTCTCAAGGAGTGAATGGACAGAATGGAGTACAGAAAATGCTGGTAGCCCGCCCTGACTGGAACCAAAATATGGACAAAGGAAGGCAAAACATGATTGATTATCGTAATTGCATTATTAAACAAATTCAGGAGGCAGTTCCTCGGGGACAAAACATGGCCAAGGCTTTTGATTAAAGGGAAAATAAAGATGAGTCATCATCTGAGTGGTTAGAAAGATTAAAGAAAAACATACAACAGTATTCAGGGGTACAGCTAGGCAGTCCAGCAGGACAAGAATTACTGAAAGTTTGTTTTGTAACTCACTCCTGACCAGATACTAGAAGGAAATTAGAAAAGATAGAGGACTGGAATGAGAAAGGATTGAATGACTTGTTGAAAGAAGCTCAAAAGGTGTATGTCTGAAGGAACGATGAAAAACAGAAAAGTAAGAATGAGATAATGGTGGCTACAGTTAAAGAAATAAATAAACAAACCTCAGGACAAGAAGAGAAGGAGGTGCCACAGAAGGAATGTAAAAATAGACCCAGTGATCATAAAGGGCAGAGGGCTCAATAACCCAAGAGACCTACCTGGCCATTAGGAAAAAAAGGAATGGAAACAGCCCCCTCAAATACACAGAATAAGAGAAAGGTTTGTTACTGCTGTGAGAAAGAAGGTCATTTCAGAAAAGAATGTCTTAAGAGACATTCTGACATCCAAGTCTTCCAGTTACAGGAGGACTTGGGATAGGGAGGTCAGGGGCTCTACCTCCTGGGGTCGGAAATAGGAGAAGAGCCCTTGATAAATTTAAAGCTAGGACCCCAGGAGGAAGATACCATCTTTCTAGTAGACTCAGGGGCTCAGAGAACTTGCGTAATTCAACCTCCCTCGGGAATCAAGATATCTAACCAAACAGTTACTGTGGTGGGGGCAAAAGGAGAAAGGTTCGAAGTGCCTGTAGCCCCATCGGTATCAATAAAAGGAAATGGGAAAACGATTGAAGCAGATCTATTGATTACATCTCAGGTTGGGGTAAATTTGTTAGGCAGGGATCTAATGGGAATCCTAGGGGTGGGAGTAGTATCCCAAGGAGAAGAGGTGGAAGTTAAACTTCTTACCTTGAGTGAAGAACTAGGCATAGATCCTCAAGCATGGGTCGAAGATGAGAACAGGGGAGAACTGAAAATTGAACCCTTTAGAGTGAAATTGTATACGGAGATTCCTATCCACATTCAGCAATACCCCATTCCCCTGGAAGGGAGAAGAGGCCTTTTGCCGGTTACAGAAAGATTAATTCGTGATGGCTTATTAGAACCCTGTATTGTCACCATACAATACCCCCATCTTGCCAGTAAGAAAAAGCGATGGGACGTACCGATTGGTCCAAGACCTACAGGAAATCAATAAAATAGTCCAAGTACGGCATACTGTTGTTCTGAACCCCTATACCATAATGAGCAGGATATCCTCTGAATGTGAATGGTTTTTGGTGGTTGACTTAAAAGATGCATTTTGGACTTGTCCACTAGATGAAAATTCTCAGGATATTTTTGCTTTTGAGTGGGAAAATCCAGAAATAGGAAGGAAATAGCAACTTGGACAGTCCTTCCACAAGAGTTTTCAGAAGCACCTAACCTGTTTGGACAGGGCCTTGAAGCTGTAATGAACAGATTTGATCCAAAGGAAGGAATTACTATCTTACAATATGTAGATAATTTACTGGTAGCCAGGAAAACACAAGTAGAAGTGGAAAAGGAAACAGTGAGATTGATAAACTTTTTAGGGAAACAAGGATTGAGAGTGTCAAAAAACAAACTTCAGTTTGTGAAAAAAGAAGTGAAGTATCTAGGGCATATCATAAAGAATGGAGGTCGTGAACTAAGTCCAGAAAGGATAAAAGGAATCTCAGACCTCCCTCTCCCAAGGACAAAAAAGGAAATAAGGCAATTTTTGGGGTTGGTGGGGTTTTGTAGGCTGTGGATTTTGGATTATAGTAATAAAACAAAGTTTCTGTATGAGAAACTAACAAACAATACAGCCCCTGAAAAGGTTTACAGGGCAGAATATTCCTCAGAAGAAATGGAGAAATTTAAAAAGCTGAAGGAAGTTCTGACCCAAGCCCCAGTGTTATCACTACCAGACCTAAAGAAACCATTTGATCTTTATGTAAATGCTTCCGAGGGGACCGCAAAAGGGGTTGTCACCCAAAATTGGGGGCGAGTCAGGAAACCGGTGGGTTTTCTGTCAAAAATGTTAGACCCAGTAATCAGGGGATGGCAAGCATGTGTACAGGCAGTGGCTGCTACGGCCATCCTCGTGGAAGAAGCAAGAAAGCTATTTGGAGTAAAAATTAAAGTTCATACTCCACATGCAGTAAGAGCAATCTTGAGTCAAAAATCTGGAAGGTGGATGACGGATTCTCGGATTCCTAAGTATTTCCATATTAATGGAAAAAGATGATTTAAGCCTGACTACCAATTTGTGTGTAGATCCATTTCAGTTTTTGTATGAGCAGGAAGAAGCCGAGCATGATAAAGTTGAACACAATTGCTTGGACATTATTGATTACCAAACAAAAATCAGGGAAGACTTGATGGATATCCCTATAGAAGGGGGAATGCATTTGTTCACAGACAGGTCGTCAAATATAGTAGAAGGGAAACGAAAAAGTGGCTATGCAGTAGTTGATGGAAAGTATCTTACTGTAGTACAATCAAGGACTCTCCCAAGTGACTGGTCTGCTCAAGCATGCGAGGTGTATGCAGTGATTAGTGCGCTATGTATAATTGGCAGTGGTATGGGAACCATATACACTGATTCCAGGTACGTCTGGGGAGTTGCACATATATTCTGGAAAATCTGGCATAAGAGGGGAACGATGACTTCTCAAGGGAAAGATTTAAGTCATCGTGAACTTCTTGACACCTTGTTGGAAGAAGTCCAAAGGCCTCGGGAAATTGCCATTGTACATGTGAAAGGGCACCAAAGGAGAAAAGATATAATTTGCCAGGGGAAGACTTGAGCTGACCAAGCTGCCCAAGAAGCGGCTCTAAGCCACAAAGTACCTGAAGCTAAGGTTATGGCTCTGATACCGGTACCAAAAAGGATACCACAGTCAGTATTTACTGAAAAAGAAGAGCAAAAGCTATTAGAAATAGGGGTAAAGAAAAATGAGGAGGGGAAGTGGTTTCTCTCAGATGGGAGACAGACACTATCAGAAGCAATTGCGTGAGAAGTGCTAAAAGAACTACATAACAGCACTCACTGGGGAACTCAAGCCCTGGTAGAAACATTTCTAAAAGTTTATGGGCACCTAGGGGTATGTACCATTGCCAAGCAGGTAACAAGTCAGTGCATGATTTGTCAAAAAGTAAACAAAAGAGTATAAAGAGCTTACTCCCTTGGAGGACGAGAGCTCGCAATTAGACCTTTTCAAAGAATTCAAGTAGATTTTACCGAGCTATCCCCAGTACAAAGATGGAAGTATTTGTTGGTGATTGTGGATCACTTGACTCATTGGGTCGAAGCATTCCCAGTTTTAAAAGCCACGGCTCAAAGTGTAGTCAAAGTACTACTTGAGCAAGTGATTCCTAGATTTGGATTACCTGAAACAATAGATTCTGATCAGGGGCCGCACTTCACCTCAAAGCTTCTAAGGTTAATATGTGAGGTCTTGCAAGTCACCTGGCAACATCATACCGCATGGCACCCCCAGAGCTCGAGGAGGGTGGAACATATGAATCAAACTCTAAAACAAACCATAACCAAGCTAGCCCTGGAAACAGGGCTGCCATGGACAAAATGTCTACCCTTGGCGCTTTTTCGGATCAGGACAGCCCCCAGAAGGGACCTGAATGTATTTCCCTATGAGATGTTATTTGGGCTGCCTTATCCCTCATAAGAACACTCAAACCCTGACCCTAGAACTAGGTGATAAATACCTCAGGGAACATGTCACAATAATAGCCAAAAGATTGGAAAACCTTAGGCAACAAGGGCTGCTTCCCCAAACTGTTAAATTAGAGATGAAAGTACACAGCATCTCTGTAGGAGACCGGGTTTTGATGAAGACCTGGAGAGAAGAACCTCTCAAACCAGAATGGGAGGGACCCTATCAAGTGGTATTAACCACTGAAACCGCAATACGGATGGACCCACAGTACCAGAGTCAAAGGGCCTGTGGCACCTCCTTCCTCTATTTCTGAGTGGAAATGTCAAAGGGAATACCCAAAACTGAAAATAACTGGAAAGTAAATTTTCTTGCAGTTGCCAAGAGATGACAGCTATTGAAACACCACTCCCAGTGAAAGAAGCCAGGATCCTAGTGCATGGGACGGGCCATACCCGTGAAGGTTGATAGTTAGAATACAAACTCAGTGGCAAGACCAAGATATAATGTGTCCTTTTTGTAATTGTTGGTTCTATGTCAAGACTAAATGCAATACTTGTGATAAAGATATTTTAGGTTCTCAAGAAACACAGGAAATAGATTTGCATTTTACATTTCATTTGCAGTGTAGACTAACTAATTGCATAACATATAGTGACTGAAGTATTACTGTTGCCAAGCTCGAAGGTACACACAGCAGCATTTTTTTGACCTGTCATGAAGTAAAAGCAACAGAGGGCAAGACCAGGTTAGCCTCTATACTTGCCACAAGAAGATCTCCCTACCCTGCTCTCAGCTGCAACCCGATAGGCATGGGGAGTGGAAGCATATCCTATACTGGACCTCTGCTTGCCTTAGCTGTGCTCCAGCTAGTAGCCATTGCTGATGACCACTGCTCAAAGTGTCACCAAAATGCATACTATGGGACAGGTGTGATAACCACCTTTATGACACATGAATACGTAAAAGAAGTTTGTTATGATGAGAAGGAGTTGGAAACCTGTACAGTAGGTAATAGACGCTATGGGGTTGTGCTGGTTTAAAGGTAAACTGGCAGGGGAAATGAAACCAACTCAAAAGAGAGATTATAAGTCAGAATAACAATTTAATAAAATAATACAATAAGTACAATTATACAGACAATTGGTTTTAACCCACAAAACCCAAATGTATAACCCAGTACCCTGGGGCGTGAACAGAGTGGTGTTCGTTGGGCCTCCTGAGTCCAAAGTAAAAGGAGAGGGGAAAACCTGTTGGTGAGAGTGCTGTTGCAGTCTGGCCAAGAGTGGTGGTTGCAGTCTGGTTGAAAAGTGGTGGTTGCAGTCCAGTCGAGAGTGGTGGTTGCAGTCTGGTTGAGAGTAGTGGTCTGCAGTCTGGTTGAGAGTGGTGGTCTGCAGTCTTCCTCTGGATCCCACGAGTGGTTAAAAAAGTCCCAAGACTCCAAGATTATATAGCCTCCAGTTCAGGTAGGAATGCCCAGTACCTCCCTCAGGGCAGGGAGTTCCACAATGGGTATGAGGACAGGAGCATCCTCCTATCTCGCAGGCCTTTTAACACATAGTTTATAGCCTGAGGAGTCAAGTTGCTCTGGGCAGATGGTGTAAATGGTCTATTGATAACAGTTTCTGGGAAATGGCATGGAAGGCTATAAAATACACAGTTTTGGGTTACACCTATACAGTGATGAACTGGTCCCAGCTGTTCTAACTAGGACAGGGGTAGCAAAGAATTTGGAGCCAGAAGGAGCACGACTAGGATTAAACTGCCCTGTGGGTGAGACATGGATTTGTTGGGATATCACCAGCAGGTGGAGGGTCCACAACCTAATAAAGGAGGACATCATTATAGACACCGAACAAGAGACACCTAAAGATCACCTACTACTGTCACAGTTGAGTGCTTTATATTCTGAATTGACACAAGAGGAGATCAGAGATTTAGAACTCCATCAGTGGGACAAAACTTGTTTGTTGATTTGGCAGAGAAAATTGCTAAAGGACTAAATGTAAATCGCTGTTGGGTTTGTGGTGGACCTTTAATGGCAGAGGAATGGCCCTGGAGGGGTTTTAGTCTAGATGCTCGAGAAATACTCAAGGGGAATTATACTTTTTCGTGTAATAAAGTAAGTCGACCAGAAGGGTGGATATTAAGCTCCGCAGTGATTGGAAGAGATTGTATATGGAGAACAGGAGTTCATTTTGTTCACCCAGTTGGGGACCAAACTCCATGCAAAAGAACTCTGAAGACTAACTTCACTCACAGTGAGTATTTTCCACAAGCCCCAACAGGTTATTGGTCAGAAAAAGGCAACTCCAATTGTGAGTGGGATATGAGCCAGAAGGTCTACAAATGTAACAAAATCAAAATGAACCCCTTTTCTGGAATAAAAGAAATATCAAAATTTTGGAACAATGTTGATAGCACTTCCAAAGACTTTTGGAAGGCACCCAATGGGCTCTTTTGGATTTGTGGAAAAAGAGCGTATACAACTTTACCAGAAAATTGTAGAGGTTGTTGTAGTTAAGGAATAATCCTCCCTGGGTTCTTCCTGTTGCCCTTAAAAGGCAGAGATGAATTAGGGGTCCCTTAACCGGGAAAAAGGGCGCTTGGAGAAGAAGTACCCTATATTGGGATTAAAGGACACTCAGTGGGAGGAGCCCAGAAATGGGGAGAGGAAGAAGGGCCTCCTGAAAAGATTATTATGGACCAGCAACATGGGCCCAGGACGGATCATGGGGTTACCGTACACCCATTTATATGCTCAAGCGAATCATACGGCTACAAGCCATGATTGAAATAGTCATAAATCAGAATTGATGGTTGAACAGCAGCGCCAAAGTAGAGCAGCCATATATCAAAACAGATTAGACTATCTTTTGGCAGAAGAAGGAGTATGTGGAAAATTTAACACCTCAGATTGCTGTTTAAAAATTGATGATAATTATGAAGCTGTAATGGAAATAGCCTCTAATATCCGGAAAATAGCCCATGTACCAGTCCAAAAATGGAAGTCCATGCTAGATGGAGGGTGGTGGACTAACTTATTTGGAGGGGCATGGTGGAAACAAGTAGGGTTTTTCCTTTTGTGTGCTATTTCTGGGTTATTGTTTCTACCCTGTTTAATCCCATGTTTTATAAGATTGATTTCTAGTGTTATTCAGGGAATGCAACTCACTGCCATGCCTATGGATCCAAAGGCTGATACAGCAGGAGGCCCGGGGATCCAAAAGATTATGGTCCTGCACCCCGCCCCTGAGCAAACTAAAGACATGGAGAAGGAGCGGAAAACACTGCTTGAATGGGAACGCACCAAGCAAACAGAAGAAATAAACGAAGCACAAGACATATTAGCAAGATGGGAACGAGCCCGAAAGATCCAGAGACAGTTTGATGTAAAAAGCTTGTAATAAAACCATGAATAAAGAGAAAAAGGGGGAATTATGAGAAATAAATAACCTGATTTTATTACAAGCAAATGAACTGAGTAGAAAGGCCAAAGGGGGGAGGGGCTTTTATTAACCAAAGAGGGGTTCCTTTTTCTTTTTTAATTAAAATAGGTGTGGCGTGGAGTTGTAAGGTGAATGGTTCTGTCTGAACCTGACACCAGGGAACTTTTGTGGCCGGGAATAGGGAAAAATACAAAAATGTATGTAACTAAACTGATGCCTGCTCAGCTGGTGCTAAGAAAAAAACTCAGGAGCAGTTAATTGAGGGTGAGATAAGGAAAGGGTTTAATTGTGCCAAGGCAATAGATGTTACAGGACGCGGGTCAGCTGTGCTTGAGATGTTACATTTTATAATATTATCTGTCCAATTCTAAGTGTGTCCACCCCATAGCCTTTGCTCTGGTCCACCCCCAGCCCACCCCTGGAATTGGGTCTGTGGGTTTTTTGAGACCCTCTCTTCATCAGTCTTCATCTTCTTCGGCGTACAGAGGGTACACAGTCACCTAGTTCTTGACTCTGTTTTATTGTTCAGGCCTAGATATGGGTGTTCTCTAAACAGTATAGGCCTTGCCTTGACAAGAGACTAAACATTTCTACTGGATTTGGGGGTAGGATTGATATGGGAGCATGGAATGGGGTAAGAGGGTTAAGGAATGTGTAAACTAAAGGGTGCTACAGGGTAGAGGGACAAGGGCTGCTGCTTTTAAAATCTACTTCTACTACTTATAAAACTTATAAAGTTTACAAAAATTAGAAAAATAAAAAACTAATAGGGGTTTAAGGCATCAAAACAAAAATCTTCTTTGCCATGCGGTAGCCTATTGTGTACAGGGGGACCCCCCCGGACCAGGTCCAGGGGGGTACATCACAATCAATCAAAAAGAAGGGTAACACCCCCTCCTTGGTCAGAGAAATAACCTTTTAAGGTAAAAACAGCATTTAATGAATATGTAACAGCTTATGTAACCGAAAGAACTACAAAAGGTGACTACTGGTCATGTGCTTCCAGACCCTAGTGGCTTGGGACGCCCAGCATGCTGCAATAAAACCTTCCATTACGCTTCCTTTGTCTCACAGGTTTTTGCCATTTTTCTAAATTCAAAAGAGGGATTTTTCCAACACTATTACAAAGAAAACGTAGGCAAGGATATCTAGACACAGGTTTTGAAGGGTGATTTACCAAAGCAGATGCTAAAAGAAGTTTTCTTCTAAATGAAATTATTATAACATATTTGGAAACTACTTTTGCACTTAATGCAATTGGACTCCATATGAACGGTTGTATTTTGTGCTTGAGGTCATGTTATAAAACCAGGTTCTTTATGCAAGTGGTAATTACAGTGACAGTATTTTCATTAGAGTTGGGACTAATGGTTTTTCTTATCGTATTTTTTTTGCAGCAACAGTGATGGCAGCAACCCTAAAGATGTTAATTGTTACCATTATTGATCATAGTGTTTTTTGCTCTGTGTTGGTTCCTGTGCAGGTTGAAATATCTTACATACTTCTGGTAACACAACATATTCCCACTAGGAAACCCCCACCTTAACACAGACTAACCAGTTGGTCTAAATGCCCTGAAGCCACACATGAAGTTATTCCTACATGTAGTTATCATTGGCAGATCACAGCTAAAATTCTTTAATTTACAGTGTAAAGTTGCAGGATCTTGGTGCGTTTGTGCTAGCTTATAGTATCCCAAAATCTCAGGTTGTCATAGGTTTTCTTTTAAAACTCCTGTTTGAATTTTTTCCCCTTTATCACTGTGAAAGAAAGATGCGGACCAGATGGGGGGGGTGTTGGCTCACTAATTTTCCCTGCCCTGAAGGGATAGCCAGCCACACAAAAGGAGTAACTGATAGCCCAAATACCAACCTAATTGCTTCAATAGGCTTGGGGGAGATAAGTTTTTCTGGCTTCTCTTAATTTTTTTCCCCTGGTTCAGGTAGTGGTGTGAGGAGAGAGTCCCCATGTTCATTTTTGGCTGGGTCCACTTGCTTCTGGTCCCATTGACTTTGGTGTTCAGCTGCTGTCTTGCTGGGGCTAGCAGCAGCCCTGGGAAGGTCCCAGCTTGCCTCCGACCACTCACGTCCTGTGCTGTCCACTGCCTGGACTTGCCTCAGACTCATTGGAAAGCCGGCGCCATCTGCGGAGGAGTTTCTAACCTCCCTTCCCCCCGAGAATCAGTGAAAGAGTCCCTGTGGTGCTCCACTCTGGGGTCCCAGACTGTCTGCCGCTGCCGAGACCCACCATTGCCATGTGTGGTTTGTCTGGAAGTCGGCACCTCCCAGAGTCCAACAGCACCCCCTGCTGATCAACAGCAAGTAACTGCAGCCTTTACTTTTCCCGGAGTCCAACAGTGGCCCTACTCAGGGAATTAGTAAGGTCCCCTGTGTAATAAACGAAAAGAATGATTCGTGCCAACATTCCAATTAAAAGAAAACAAGTAAGGTCAGTATAACCTGGAGAAGGGAGAAAAACAAATAAATCGTTAAACTTAATTGGGCCCCCATAAAGACATAAAACAGATTACCTCCCCTTTTACCTTGTACATGAGTTATAGCTGAACCAAATTTAGCCAACAGGATGTTAACACTTTCTTATCAAAGCTATGAGAATTTACGACTTTTTGTAGATAACAGATTAGTCTAAGAAAACATCTGTTGAATTCCTGAAATAACGATGTATGATGTTTATGTTTGTGTATAATGAATATCCATGAAGTAGCTGAAATAAACGTAGGGCTAATGTCTCTTTTCGGTGTGGCAGGCCTCGGAGTAGCTAACTCCTCCTGTTCACCCAGCGCTGCATTGCTTTTATCATATAATAAATTCTAATTGGAAAATTACTTGGAATGAGACTCTGTTTCTCACACCTGGGAAAATGTTTTTGTAGGTGCTGTAGTTTCAAGAGTGCAGGACTGCCAGACTGGCAGGATGCTTCTCTGGGATGCCTGGTTCTGCTGTCTGTAACCAGCACAAGATGTAGTACATAACTGATTAATTTTCTTTACAAATAAGTGAGGTAACAAGTTGCATAACACTGCACATACATATATAATGGCCAGTCTTCACGAACGAAGATTTTGGGAAAGGTCTTTTACCTTTCAAGCCTGCGCAATGGATTTTTTAGGTGAGACACAGCATGCGCTGAACTGAGCCCACCCTTTAATCCTAAGGTTCATCTGCCGGGGCCAAGCAAGCTTGGACAATGGCAGTGAGGTCCTCAGGACGTAGGTTTGTTTAGAGTGACCTTCTCATAGATGGATGGCCTCACAGGGCTAACGAGCTCCATCTGCCCGGGGGACTGGGGAATCGAACCTGGGTCGCAGCAGTGAGAGTCCTGCATGCTAACCACTAGGCCACCAGGGGTCCCACTGCACATACACACTCCTGAAGAAGTGTGCCTTTAAACATGATATCTGTGGTGGGTTGACCTTGGCTGAATGCCAGATGCCCACCAAGCCGCTCTATCATTCCCCTTCTCAGCAGGACTGAGGGGAAAAAAATACGATGAAAGAAACCTCAGAGGTTGAGATAAAGGCAGTTGACAAAAGCAACAGCAAGGGTTGCATGTGCACAAGCAAAAGGAAAAAAGCCCCAAAAGCTTTTATTCTCTACTTCTCATCAGCAAGCAATGTCAGGACACTTCCCAGGAATCAAGGTTTCAGCACAGATAGCAGTTGCTCCAGAAGGCAAACACTGTAAATAACAAATGCCCCCACTTCCTCCTCCTTTGCTTAGCTTTTATAGCTGTCATACAGTATGGAATATCCTTTTGGTCAGTTTGGCATTAGCTGTCCCCTCCCAAGATTTTGCCCTTCCCCAGCCTACTGGTCAGGAAGTGGAATGTTGGAGAGACAGTGCTGATGCTGTGCCAGCACTGCTCAGCAGTAGCCAAAATACTGGTGTGTTATCAACACCTTTCTAGCTACCAATGGAAAGCACAGCACTATGGGAGCTGCTATGGGGAAAAATTCACTCCATCTCAGCTAGACCAAATACAATACCTTAAAGGACCAAACAAACACCTTTTGAATAGCAATTACAAAGAAAAATACATGTAGGAGAATTAGAGACCCCTTTATATGTGCCTCCTAATAAGAAGCAACAAAATACTTTCCCAGGAATAATTTGTCTGACAAGAAAGCATCTTCTCTTGAGTACTAAAAGATATGTTACAAGCTCCAATGCCTCTCTCGTATTCACTTATTGCATTCTAGATTACTTGGATTTTTGGTTTTAAGTCATTGTGACACATTTTCTATGGGAATGGGATGATCTGAGTCATGTTGCTAGCTGTGAAGCTAATAGATATTTGCTGTGAATTTTGTGAAGTTTTGAAACATGCTCAACATTGGACTCAGGTATGAAAGTGGTAACAAGATATCTGTTATTGCACTCCATTAAAGAGTTCAGTAAGGCTTGTATAATTAAATGCTGAGACCTAAACATCTCTGCAGTTTCACAGCAAACAACCACTATTAAAGTCTTTTTAACCGTTATAAAAAAATAAAGAGAAAAAATCTGCGTTTAAATACAAAATTTTCAGGAAGTTTTTTTTATATGTCTTTATTTTCTTTTCCTTTAGCTGTAAATAATTTTAATATGAAAAAATGAAGCAACCATTTGACAGGTTTTATACAGTATTAAAACAGAAATAACTGGGCTTTTGGGTAAAAAGAAAAAGTTAACAGAAGTGAACTGCGTCCTTGAAAACAGAACAAGAAAATCACCCACAAAGTCAAGAGAAAATGTATATTTACCAGCAGGCTTTCTCAGATTAGCTTTACTATTTGCTGTGGCAATCAAAGATGTTTACATCTTTAGTTGTCTCCCCTGTGCCTCTGTCTGAGGCACAGGAAATTTGCGTCCACATCTTACCCCCTCCCCAAATTGCTGTCCTGTGTTTTAGCTCTAGCTCACTTTTATCATCAGTTTAGGCTAAGATGGCAGGCTAAGATACATTTCTTCAATGTAAGTAACCTCTTCAGTGTAAGTAACCTCTGGCAAAGGCACAGGATGAGCAATTCAGGGCAGTAATATCTTAAACCTTGATAACGAGAATAGCTAGTGCTTGTCTTACCGTGCCCCACTGGCAGCAACACTGCTGGAGAAAGACTAGCACAACATAGAAACCTAGCTACTAAAACATTTGTCTAATTCTTTTCAATATCAGGCTGCTTAACAGATTGCTTTTTTTTCTTTCTGGTCAACAACTCAGTGGTACTGCAGAGCACACAGTGCTTTCAGAGCAAAGCTATTATTAAACAACAGGAGAGAATCAATAAAAAGTGGGAAAGGAAAAGAAGTGAGGAATAAAAGTCTCACATTTGAAATATTATATTGTGTCCAGGGGTGGGAGCAGTGTTATGTGGAGCCTACTTTCTGGCTTGGTTTGGTCGAGATCATGGGGGTGAAGGCCATGGGGCATTGAATAGATTTCAGAATCCTAGAAGGTAATGGGATTTGAGAAAGCTTGCTTCATCCTCCTCTCCTTTTTCCCAGGTACTGTGAGAGACAGTATCGAAAACTTTACTGAAATCCAAAAAGATGACATCAACTGGCTTCCCTTGATCAACTAGGTGGGTTACCTTATCATAAAAGGAAATCAGGTTTATAAGCAGGACTTTCCTCTCATGAAGCCATGCTGGCTGTGACCAATGACTGCGTTGTTGTAGTGGGTTTCTGTGGCTGGGTTCTGGTAGCGGGGGGAGCTACAGGGGTGGTTTCTGTTAGAAGCTGCTAGAAGCTTTCACTGTCCTATGAAAAGCCAATGATAGCCAACTGCAGGAGGGATTTCCTGCTGCTGGCCAAGGCTGAGACAATGAGATGCGCTTCTGTGATAACATATTTAAGAACAGAGGAAGAGAAGGTTGTTGCACAGAAGAAATTCCAGTCCGGGAGAACAAGCAGTCACCAAGCTCGGTGCAGCCGGAGGGGGGGGGGGAAAGCAGGGGGAGCCTTTCCCCCACCCTCCCAGAAGCAGGGCAAAGACTTAGAACTGAAGCCTCTGCAGCCCATAAAGAACCATTGGAGTGCAGAAACCCTCCTGCAGCCTATGGAGGAGTCTATGCTGGAGCAGGAAGATACATGAAGGAGGCTGTGACCCCCTGTGGGAGGCCCAAAATGGAGCGAAGTGCTGCTGAAGACTTGTGACCCATGGAGAGGGAAGCCCAGGCTGGACCAGTTTTTTCCGGGTAGGACTTGAGGCCCCCATGAGAGACCCATGTCAGTACAGCTCAACCCATGAAGGACTGCACCCCTTGGGGAAGTCGTCCACAGGGCAACAGATTGAAAAAAACTGTTGCCCGAGGGGTGGATGGACTCACGCTGGAGAGGTTCATCAAGGACTGTCTCCTGTGGGAGAGACCCCACGGAAGCAGGGGAAGGACTCAGAGTTGCAGAGACCCCCCTGTAGCCCGTGGTGAAGACCATAGTAACGCAGATGTCCCCCTGTAAACTATAGAGAACCTTTGGACTGCTAAGAGCCGACTGTAAAAAGCTGCTGCCCGAGGGACAGACTCAAACAACAACAAACCCCCCTTTTCCTGTCCCCCTGCACCACTGGGGGAAGGAGGGAAGACCTGAAAAGAAGGAGGGGTGAGGGGAAGGGGAAGGTGTTTTATGACTTTTATTTCTCACTCTTTAGCTCTTATTCTGTTAGCAATAAATTTAAGTTTTATCCTCACTCTGAGTTTGTTTTGCCTGTTAACACTGCCTTCTCTCAATCCTTATCTCTACTCATGAAATTCGTTTACTGTTTTTATTTTCTTCCTCTCTCCTCTGTCCAGCTGCAGAGGGGAGGAGGGAGGGTAGTGGAGTGGTTTTAATAGGACCCTGGCATCTGGCCAGGGTCAAACCACGACAGCCAATTAGGAGTAATAGTAACACCTCTGTGATAACATATTTAAGAAAAGAAGGTTGTTGCGCAGAAAGAATTCCAGCCAGGGAAGAGTGGGGTAAGAACATGGGAACAGTAAGGTAGACACTAAGGTCAGTGCAGAAGGAGGGGGAGAAGGTGCTCTAGGCGCCAGAGCTGTGGCCCCTGCAGCCCATGGTGAAGACCATGGTGGAGCAGGCTGTCCTCCTGCAGCCCATGGAGGACCATCAGGGTGCAGAGACCCATCTGCAGCCCATGGAGGAGCCCATGCTGGAGCAGGTGGATGCATGAAGGAGGCTGTGACCCTGTGGGAGGCCCAAGATGGAGCAGGGTCCTGCTGGAGACCTGCAGCCCGTGGACAGAGGAGCCCACTCTGGAGCAGGCTTTTCCTGGGTAGGACTTGTGGCCCCTGTGGGGTACCCACACCGGTACAGCTCATCTGTGAAGGACTGCACTCCATGGAGGAGTGACCCACGGGACAGCAGTTTGGGAAGAACTGCTGCCCGAGGGATGGACTCACGTTGGAGAGGTCCATCAAGGACTGTCTCCCATGGGAGAACATGGAAGAAGGGGTGAGGGGAAGGTGTTTTTGAGACCGTTTTATTTCTCACACTTTGGTTCTTATCCTGTTAGTAATAAATTTAAGTACTATCCCCACTTTGAGTCTGTTTTGCCTGTGAAGATAATCAGTAAGTGACCTCTCCCTACATGTGGGGCACCGAACTTCGACTGAAAACCTACATTAGGCGAGTTTAGCATATCCTGAATCAGGCGAAATATCGGTAAACTCCGGTTCTCGTATTAATTTTCATAATACGGGAGATTTTCACCGAAAAAAACTAAGACGTCTGTAAATCGTTGTCTCAGCGGAATCTGAGAAACGCAGTTAGTATAGTGAGCTCAAAAATATTAGGGAAAAGTGCATAGGAACAAAGAAGAAAGAAGAGAAGAAGAAGCCGAGAGACCGGAACGGCGGGCAGCCGGAGAGAGCAGAGCAGGGTCTAACATCCACCGGAGCGGTGAGTGAGGGAAGCAGCGCCAGCATCCAACACGCGGCCGAGGCTGCTCCCTGGGAGGCGGCGAGCCCCGCGTCTCGAAACACTCGAGCGGCGGAGCACGTCGAACCCTGCCGGGAGCCCCGCTGCCCGCCGCCTCTGCCGCAGCTCAGCAGGGTGCGCAAAAGCGGTGCCGCTGCTGCTCTAACACTCCCAGCCCCACCACCAGACCCCGGGAAGCCCACACCGGCGCACCCTTCCGCCCAGCGGGAAGCGCCGCAGGGCCGCGCAGCCTGCTGCCGCCCGCGTCTCCCTGCTGCCCCTGCCGGCCCCGCGCCACGCTTAAAAGCCGTGTGGAACCCGCGGAAACCGCGCCGCGAACGCACTCCGGCACCCGGACCCCCCGCACCGCCCAGCGGATCGCAGGACCCTGGAGCCACCTTCTGCCGGTCCCTACCTGCCTGTAACGACAGCGCAGAACCTCCACGCCGAGGAAAAAACCACCAGGAGCAGCGTAGACCCTGAAGGAACCTCCGCCACTTCCCCGCCGCCTGCCGCCGGAGCCGCGCCAGAGCCCACACCGCGCCGAGGGGCCGCCCCGCCGCCGTTCGCCACCGGAGCCACCGCCCCCAAGGCGCAGGAGTCGCCGCCGAAGCTCGGAGAGCCAC